TTTCTCCGCTTTTCTTTTTTTTTTCTCATGCTTGGATTGTTGGACACAAAGTTATTTGGATTGAAATCTTGCAACTCTTAATCCGATTGTAAGTTTTTCAATTCTATTTTATTATTGTTGATTGGTTTTATGTTCTTAATTCCGGTTAACATGAAATTGAATCTAAGCATGAGGTAATCCATTCACCTAGGGTTAGGGATTTTGATTCTTGTTTTGAATTATGAGGAATGTGTTTTGTTCAATCTATACGAGTTGTGTGAATTATATGGTTAGTTGATTGATCACCATTCTAACCTAGTTAATCGACGTTTAGAACCGAGAGGGGAGACGTCGGTCGATTTAGGCTCGTATAGAGTAGACATGTTCGTAAAAGTATTGTCTATGTGTTGCTTGTTTGAATGAATTTATCGTTTATGTTTGTGCTCTTGTTACGAAGAGTTATTGAGCATAGCCCTCTAGACGTGTAGGCTCGTTTAATCTCGTAACCGAACAAATAAGCGTTCAACATAGTTTAAGACTTGATAAAATTTCCCGACCCCTAGACCTTCTTCTTTTTCTCTAGAAATTTAATTGTTATTTCTTTAAATTGTTTTTCTAGTTCTAGATTGTTTTAGTTGATTCCCCAAATCAATCGTGATTAGAGTGTTTAGTACTTATTTTCTTTTCGTGTGTGATCAAGACCAACGCTAAATTCCAAACAGTCTTCCTCAAGAGATCGACTCGGGTAACGAATCCTTCGATTCGGTACACGATAAAAAAATAAAATAATTTGCTACAACAGTGAGTTGATGAATAATGAAATTAAATTGATGTAATGTGTAATAATGATTAATTTATATTATTTGAATATATTAATAATATTGAGAATAGTGTAGTTAATTTAGAGTAGAATTAGACTTGAGTTAAACAAATTGATTTGGTTAAAATGTTTGGATTTTTTTAAGATATTTTGTACCCAAACATACTCTACTAATCCTCTAATATAATAAATGGGCCTGGAACTTTGTGTTTTAAGAAATAAATATACAGAAATATGCGTTGGGTTGATGGTGTTCTGCACAGTAAATATAATAAATAGGCCTGTGCACAGAACTTTGTGTTTTGAGATGTAATCTATATATATTGAAAAAGAGAGGTCAATAAATCATTTATGGAAACTTTTAAAAATTAATGAGTCAGCCATATTGACTTACTATTATAAGTAATATTCTAAAACACACATGTGATAATGATTTTCAAAAATTTTGATAATCCGTTAGGATGTGATAGTGATAACGTTTTATCCCTTTTTTTTTTAGAAACATCTTTGATAATCAATTCAAATTTTTTTGCCTTTTTTTAACAATTTTAACAACCTAATAATAATACTTGATGCAAAAAGATTCTCCTTTTCTCCTTTTTACCAATTTTTTATTTCAATTTTTGAGGGGCGGCCTATGGCTGAGAGTAATGAAGTGAATAAAGGTAACAAAAAAAAAAAGAAAAATTGCACATATTTGCTCCATTTTTACTATCTGAATCAACAATTTAGGCCATCATTTGGGATAATATTTTCTTGGGTTCTATCAATTCCTGGCTTTTTATTTTTTTCATGAGCTAATTTTGTAAGCAAAAGTCGATTTCATGGTTAAAGATCGAATCTTTTTTCTGTTTGATTTAGAGGGCTTTGGTTGCTTTTTCTATTGTCTGTGTTTGTTTGCATGTGATTAAAGCCACCAACCTCAACCTATCTAACAACGAGCTCTAATTTCTCCCCGACAGCTTGAATTCGAGGTACGAATTCCCCCTTTCCCCAACTGCTCGAACTCCTCTCTCCCCCCAAAGCAGATCGCCGCGGCCACCATTTCGCCGGAAAAAGCACCGCAAAAAGCTCTCGGCTGTAGCCATAGCGGTGGTGTCGGTGAATGAGGTTGTGTGACGTTGAAGTGGATTTGGGGAAACGACAATTGATTTTGGGAACAGTTTATAAACTGATTTTGTATGAATTAGTTTTTTTAAAAAAGCCACCTAATATCTGTCATGGAATTGATAAATCTAATTAATAAAGTCACATCACATGCTACATCATATTGTGGCATGGCTTATGGTGCCCACTATATGAATTTGAATTAAAATCTACAGCCATATACCAAGATTTGAATCATTCAAAGAATTCACACTATCCAAAATACTAAATATATTTGGTTGGAATAAAAAAATATGCACAAAATATTCTTGGTTGTTAAAACAATATATCTACAAATCAAGCCACAAATCAAATAATATATACTATATATTTGCAATAAATCGAAATGCACGTTCTAATCACACTCTTTTATGAGCAATCAAATAGGTTTTCACAATTTTTCGGATTATTACTTAAATCCATAGTTTTCAATAATATATTACTATATTGATCCGATTAGAAGTTTACATAAATTAAAATATCATTTGATATCAATTTTATTTTTATATTTTATATAGATATATTTTATATTTTATTGATTCATATAATCCAGGCTATCCAAAATATTAATGGTTGTTACAAATATATATATAGAACACAAGTAACTAATCGGATAAGAGTTTGAAAAAAATATCCTACTGATAAATACTAATGATTTACTTGGAATATAATCAAACGAAAATCTCATTTAACATAATTTAGAATTTTAATCGCTTATTAGTGCAATGATATATCTAGCCAAATATTACACCAAATCTTTGATAATTCTTCTACCATTGGGTTGTAAAAACCAAATAAATCTATAACCATAAATCCTAATCCTATATGAAAATTAAAATCTACAACCATATACCAATATTTGAATTATTCATAGAATCCACAATATTCAAAATACTAAATATATTTGGTTGGAATAAAAAAAATATGTACAAACAAACTAATTAACTATTCCGATATGCAATTAAAAAATAAGATCGATAAGCATGAGCTTATTTGTTAGACTAACCCGATCTTTTATAAAATGATATTTTGAATATAAAAGTTATACTTCTTAGACTCCACAATTTACAAAATATCTTTGGTTGTTAAAACAATATATTTACAAACCAAGCAACAAATAAAAAAATATATACTATATATTTGTAATAAATCAAAATACACGTTCTAATCACACTCTTTTGGTTTGCACTCAAATTGGTTTTCACAAATTTTCGATTATTACTTAAATCCATGTTTTTAAATAATATATTACTATATCGTTCCTTGTGTTAGTTTACATAAATAAAAATATCATTTGATATCAATTTTATTTTTATATTTTATATAGATATTTTATATTTTTTTGATTCATAGCTATCTAAAATACTAATGGTTATTACAAATATGTATCTAGAAAACAAGTAACTAATCGGATAAGGATTTGAAAAATAAAATTGATAAGCATGATATTTTTAATGTCATGAGACAATTCAAATTCAAAAATCTATACTAATATAAAAAGGTTGTTGTTAAAATTATTTTTAGTAACTTTGACCAAAAAAATAAATGGGTTGACTTACAATTAGTAGAAATTTTGAAAAAATACATCTAGATCTTTAGTAACAAAATCTCATTTTTTTTTATTAAATTTGGAGATTCTTATGCCAAAATATAAATCTTATTTATTTTGTATCATTTTTTATTTTTTTTTATCAAATTTGAATCCTATTTTTTTGTGACAAGTTTGGAGATTCACGAAAACAAATTTAAATACAAATTAATTAAAAATCGTGCAAATTGGATACAAATTTAGGAAATAAATAGTTGTATAATTTTTAACAAATTCTTTCAATCTTTCTGAATAATTTTTTCTTTAAAAAATGTGTGCAAATTGAATAAAACAATTTTTATTTTAAAACAAAATTAAAATTTGGACTGGATACATATTCAAAATCGTATCCACCTTTTGGTAACAAAATCGGTTCATCTTTGACATTTAAAATCAAACCTTATCCAATTAATTAGGAAATAAAGTTCAAATCAAATCATGTGCAACTTTTTAAAATTTGAATGAACCGATATTTTTGGATCCTTATGTTTTTCTTAACCATGTTTTACTGAGAAACAATTGCATAAATCTTAACAAATATTCTGATCTTTTATTAGAATTAATTTCAATTCAATTTGTTTAGTAAAAAAAATCGCCCCAGTGTTAGAAAAATTTGGTTCCATTTTTGGGAAAAATTGATGATTTTTTTTTTTCACTTTGTTTTAACCAAACATTCGGATCAATTTGTTTGATAAAAAAATCAATGTATTGGTATGAAAATTCGGTTGAATTTTTAGAAAAAACAAATGATTCTTTTCAATCTTACTTAATCAAAATTTTGAATTAGAATTAAAAAATAGTGTGAAAAAATCCTAAAAATCTCTACTTTCTTTCTACTATAATTTTTTTTAATAAATAAGATCCCTTAATTTTTTTTAGATGTAATTTATTAATTAATAACTAATAATACATAATTTTAGATAAAATTCGAACACTCATAAAGTATTTTACGTTCCAAAGAATCAAACTAAGAATGTTATACATATAATGGTCAATAATATATAAATTTTATTTTCATGATATTTTTAATGTAATGAGGCAATTTAAATACAAAAAGTGCATTTTAAAAATAAAGTAGGTAATAATGCCCGTTGCATCGCACGGGTACTGTACTAGTTTTCTCTAAATAAATATACAAAAATATGCCTGGGTTGATGGTACAGTACCGGGAAATTAATATATAAAAAACAAAAAACAAAAAAAAACAAGTGGACACAAATAAAAGAAAAAAAAAATCTAGACCAAAATAAAAAATTAATATTTTAAGAATACGTTTTCTTTATAAATTATCATTGAAAAACGTATCCTCAAAATACGTTTTTCAATAAAAATTTTGATTGTTTTTTCCACAAGTTTTTTTCTTGTTTTGTTCTTGTCCACTTTATTTTTTTTTATTTTTTTTTAGTAAAAAAACCGGTACAGTTAAGCCTAAAATAGCCGTACCCGGTTCCATTAGCCGGGTCGGATCACAAAACCCACGCGGCCACGCCACATAAGAGGACCTAGATAAGAGAAAATTAGAAGCCCTATTTTTTAGACGGATTTGCTTCCACATTCTCCCCGACCGATCAGCCTCTGGAGGCCGGCCAAAGTACGTGTTTTATTCACCGTCTTTTTAGTGTATTGAGAACACAAATATTTAGCGTTTACTGCCTTTTTATTCTGCCTATTGCGATTTTATTTTTTTTTTCTTGTTAATTTTTCCTTTTCGAGTCGTTTACTCGGTCGTTTCTCGTATCCTGATTGTCCTATGTTCTATTGTCCTATTGATTATTGGTTTTCAGGGTTCAGATTTGTAGTTAAAGTTTTTTTGGTTTGAAGTGATTGTTTGTTGACGGTCGGCTTTGGGTGGATTTATGTGGTAGTTGAAGCAACCTTTGTTCAAGATTATTAGATTTTTAGCTGCTTTTTGTTTAGTCACTGGAAATTATGGCGGTCCCAGTTTGCTTGTTGTGGTATAATGGGTGATGTAGATTGATCATATAGTGTAACAGACAACTCATAACCATTATTGTTTGTTATCTTTGTAAACCAGTAAATTTTGTCAGAATGTTATGTTGTAAACTAGAGAACTTTGAGGCATGGTGTTCTTTTAATGCATTTTTCTGAAGAACATTGTCGTTTTCATTGGATTGTAAACTAGAGAACTTTGAGGCATGGTGTTCTTTTAATGCATTTTTCTGAAGAACATTGTCATTTTCATTGGATTGCTGGCTGTAAAAATATATCTTGGTATTTTTTAAATTATAAATTCCGAACATAATGGTGATGCTGATCCTTTATAACGTTCTCATTTTTTCTTTTTTTTTTTCAGTGTCGATAGAACATGGGTTGCTGGGTGATCAGTCGCAAGCGACATTTTCGTTCACAGATGAAGATCATACTTTAGCAAATTCTTTGAGATACATTCTTAATCAAGAGTAAGTTCTACAAGGACAGGTTGTTTTTAATCAAATATAATATATATATATATATAATATTTAGGTGTCGAAAATATATATTTTCATTAAGTTATTAACTCGAATATATCAAATTATCTTTCAGCCCGAGAGTGACATTTTGTGGTTACAGCATACCGCACCCTTCTGATGCTCGGGTGAATGTAAGAGTGCAGACAACTGGTAAATACTATGAATTTCTTCTCGCTCATGCCTTATTTTCTTAGTAGTTGGTGTCAATATTTTTAAATAAATTTGATAGATGTGTTGGAGTCGACCATTTATTTAACCCCGCGTGGAAATTGAAGATAAACTTCTTGTTCAAAACTTGCATGTTCATGTTATTCAGTATGTCGAAGCTGAAGAGCTCGTATTTACTTAGTTCTAATGTACGGAGCAATGTTTACTTCTTAGCGAAATTGTTTGGAGTTATTTGCACCTTTAGCTTTATGGATAGAGTTACTACCGTACTAAGCAATATTTTGTTAATAGTGAGTAATAAAAGCGTCTGTTGGCGATTTTGTTTCTTTTAAAAAGGCTGTCCTGTGCTTTCTGATTTTAGGTGACCCAGCACGTGAGGTATTGAAAGATTCGTGCCAGGATTTGATGCTTGTATGCCAGCATGTTAGAAATGCCGCTGATGAGGCTGTTACGGTGTTCAAGAGCAAGCAAGGTGTAGAGTCGATGGATATCAAATAATGTTTTACCTTTTGTACCATCTATTTATAAAAGTTAATTTGGGACTGAATTTGAGGACTGCAACTACTTGTGGCCACCATATTGCCAAACTCGACATGTTCATCTCATATTGGTTGCTATGCAATATTGAGTTAGTAGCAAATATTATGGATGAACATCAATTCTACTACTATTATTATTATTTTTTTTTTTTTTCTTTTTGAACAATACGTTTGATTTTGTTCCATTTTACAAGGTGCCACTTTTTCCTGGAAATTTTTCAAGCAGGTTGTGTTTTGCATTTAGGTTTATTATTAATTTTGAAAGACAGCAAGTGTTACTTTATATAACCATACTTGACAAAAAATACGTAAGGTTTGCACTTCCAACTTTTAAACTCAGCGATAAATTTCTGTAAGAAATTGGATCATTCGGTCAATATGATCTGTAAACGCTTATTCGGACAATATGGCTATTGAAATGATCTCTAAATGTTCGCAACATGCTGGTACCATTAAATCCACCAAACGGTTTTATTTTTGAGATTTACATAAAATCTCAAAATGAAACCAAACAGATCAACATGGGGTTGAATACAGTACAAGTTGTACTATCAGTTGAGAGTAAGTTGTATTATCAGTTGAGAGTATTTGGTAACAGCCTATGTATAAATGCCTACAATATTCATTCTGCACGAGTTATCCAACTAAATAGATGTATAACTTTCCAAATCCTATAGTTAGGAGCTTCATCTTCATCCCAAATTGCCACCTGACAGACCATACAAAGTGTGAGAAAACAAATATGAACTTCGTAAGAAATACATCACATACCCGAATGCAAGATATAATTTGCACAACATGGAATAGTAGCTTTCGTCATTCTTACGGGAATAGAAAAAATAATGGACTAAACAAAACTAATCGAGACCAAAGTTGTTTCTCTTTTGTCTTATTCGGAAAAACCAATGGAGTTCAAAGTAAAGATTCCAAGGTTGCGAATATACGTAAACCAGAATCGGGAATTCTAGAAAGTACCTTCAGTCAAGTACCAGGAATGGCATCATTTACATAAGACGGCCGAGATAATTAGCCCGAGGATATTTGCTCTTCAGCTGTGGCCATTGCACAAATAACTGGTCAGCCATATGCAGTTTGTAGAGAAGCAATCCGCTCAACGATAGCCTCCTAACTCTGGCTATGCTCTCGATATATAAGATGGATGACCACCTGACCCCAAGAACCTAGAACATGCATTTCAACTCGAACAATTAAAAACTTACTCGCGAAAATAAACAATATCCTCATCAAACGAGTGGATTGTAATCTTAAACCTTAAAAATGAACGCGATCATGCAGAGTGGTATACAAGTCCCGGGGCCATTGCACAAAATCTGCATAAACAAATTGTAGTAAAAGTGAAAAAGAATATAAGGACACAATCTTCGTAAAATTCCAGATGGACTCGTGTTTTTTTTTTTTTTCACTCGTTTATTTTCGACAAAACTTCAAGGTCCCTCCTAGCAGATATTACATTATTATTCCTAAAATGTAAATTACGGGATCTCAAAAAAGGAATTTTTTACCTTGTCCATCAAAGAATCCTCCAGCAGACGAGCCTTTTGAAGACTCATACTATCAGTCGCAGCAGCTACGTAATATCTCGGTTTAAACTTCTCCATCTGCATAGCGTTCAGCAGATTCAGCATCTCCGCCGTGTGGCCGCCAGACAATTAAATAGAAAAAAAGGGATTAAAGAAAAACAGAAAATACCACAATTATCACTTAATTAAGATAGTGGAAAACAATGGGCTGCAAATTTCAGCACTATATGAAAATAGAAATGGGGGAATTTCTGCTAACCGGATCCCAACACGATCAGAGTACTCAGAGGCGGTAGAGGTTTTCCAGACCTGGGTTTACCGGTACAGTAAACAACGTACGAGATTCGGATCACAATCAAGGTAATTGTACCAATAATTAGCAAAATTGTGACGCCCATTTCAGAAAGAAGGCAGCTAGGTTTGCTATCCGATGCCAGAATCTTGCAACCTTTGTCAGTAAGAAGGTACGTATTTCTTGAAGAGCTCGGAAGATATATTCCTCTTTGCCGGCAGAGGAGAATTGGCAATGCGGAGTGGAAAGGGATCAATAAAAGAGAGCCTTTGTCTTCTAAAGTTCGTGCTCTCAGTTTACAACTACAATTTCCACATATCAAATCTATTACTCTTAGGCCTCATTTACTAAAAAGGATGTGATTGGACTACTTAATCAAAGTTACTGTTTCTTAGTGAACTGTTTCCATTGTTTACAAGATAGAGATGTGTTTTTAATGAAAATAGTCATGCATTTACTACACATGATTAAATTTCATGATATTGGTCAAAATGACAAATCTACGCATTCTCATTTGTCTGTCAGTCTGCCTTATCCCATTTTTTGCCCAAATCCCATTACGAGCCCTAAGCAAGAGACTATACATCCCAAGTTGATGTATCATAAAAGCATCAATGAACCTGCCTTGTTCCATAAACAAAGCAAACGAAATCAGAGCTTTTTTTGTACAGAGAATGTGCTCCTTCATTTCTTTAAACACCCTTTTATAATCTAAACTACCATCCATCTATCAATTATACAGAAAGGCGTAAATTTTCTATGAAAATTACATATTTGATCAAATCATCAAAATGTAAAGTCTAGTGAACTGCATTCCATAATTACAAAATTTTAAAAACATTATTGATTAAGGTACAAGCTAAAATAGTAACTTCATCCAGTCATAGTCAGAACATAATAAGAAAACAAAGACTGAACATGAAGTCGATAAACACATACTCAGCCCACCCTGAACCAAAAATAAAACGCATATAAAAATTATAATAAAGTGCATATGATCAATTTCAACGTATTCTAGAGGGTACGAGAGAGGAAATTACATAGAGGAACCAATCTTGAGAAATCTGACGTCATTTCGGTACCGCGGATCGGACTTGAAGGTGTCAATACAATTCGCTACCAGCACGTCGAAATCCAAAAAATTGTTGAGCTGGGTTGAATTCTGATTCTGCAAAGCTTTGTGCCGGACCTTGAATTTGTAAGAATTCGAAATGGTTGAGGAAATATGAGAAACTTCAGTCGAAAAAATTTGTGGAAAATAAGCAGGTATGAAAAATTAATTGAGTGGGAAACATATCCAAGCCAAGGTAAGAGAGGACTCTGTCAAACGGTGGAGGAGAGCCTGAAGATATCATTGGAATTTCTCGAGACTACGGCCATAGTTTTTTTGTTTTGTGGTGTGACGAGCAACACTTTTGTATGTCCCTTTCTTCTTATTAATTCAACATGGGCTTTTTTGTCATTTGATGAAGAAATTTAGGGGCAAAAGTAGAACTTTAAAATAGGGACATGTGGGATAAAATAAATCCCACCTCCAGACTAGGACAACTTTTATCAGTGAAGAAAAATACTATAAGTATATAAAAATGTACATAGAGGTGTACATAACACTCACATGGAGTGAGTTTATGTACACCTCTATGTACATTTGTAGGAGCCACAAGCCGCATTAGAATAATCTCTGTCACTATCAAGCATAATAAACAACGGATAAGGTCGAATACCCAACCTTCTCCTATCATGTCCTGCTTAGTAAATGAGGCCTTATCAATAAAAGGAACTAATGGTTTCTGTTCATTGACACGTGGAGTTTCAAATGTAAAAAGCTACACCGCCCTTTAATAAAATGTTGTCGTTTTTGTTGAAAAACGACGTCATTATTGTGTGTGTCAAATCACAAATGACGTCGTTTATTGTGAGTTGGGTTAGAGCATCTTTACTTTCGGGTGACTCTTTCATTTGGTTTAGCAGCATATAACTTGCAAAAAACTTTATCGGGTGTGCCGCCGCTCTCGATGAATGAATTGGATTGTAATGTTTAAAGGCACGGGCCACCAAGAGTAAAGTCCAGGCAAGTAATTGGACCTACAAAAGTCCTCGCAACAGGCGGCCCATAAAAGCACGCGAACAACCTAAGATGCTATGTTAAGTCTGTTGATCCCCCGATCGATAGACTTCATCCCTTGCCGATCACTCTCTAAGTCTTCTTGAAGAAAATTGGCGATCTATCCTCATCTAAACGCCAAACCAATAAAGTTAATAAGTCACCGCCCAAGTTGTCCTATTTTTAAAAGGCGAGTTTTGTATGGATACACGCGCCGCATCCTACGCCCCTAGCTGGCACGAGCTTTTATTACTTTTTTACTTTTACGGTGTTTAAATCCGACTCCTTCTAGTCCTAGCAAGGATATGAAATAAAATCATATACGAACATACTCATACCCACTCAAGCTAATATATAGCAAAAACACCTCATACATTCTTATAGGGTTGTATTTTATCTTCCTACAATCCTTCAATAAAATTTATGGAAAACCACTTTGAGATCGGCAACATTAGTGCCTCATTTATCTTTTCTACATACTTAATTTCTTAGTTAAGATGAATATGTTCATATTCTCTCATGATTTATTATTTCAATTACACCCTAAGGCATATTGTAACACTCTATTAAACCACCCAATCAGTATCAACTGTAACCGTTGGTGGTCGATCGTCAACAATAATTATTTTATAACGAGTTAAATAATATACAAATCACATATTAAAATATTATATATCGTATAAATAAAAAGAAAGAAAAAAATTAGTATTAATATTCAAAACTATGTTTTTATACTCAACATTCATTCACATTTATGCATTGCAAAAATTACGCACTAGTACGTGTAATAACGACAAGGCATCCTTCAAATTGGCTACAAAAGGAAAACAAGTTAGAAATCGCAGGCTGCCGTCCACGCTTTAAGAAATACACATATTTCAGCAGTAATCGTGTTCAAGCGGCCGGTGAAAACTAAAACCCCCACACCACACCACACCACACCACACCACACCTTGATCCACCGGAAAAACAGAAGACTGACGCACATCAGCCGACCGGCAAAATGATGGTGGATTTGAGCTCGTTCTCAGAGGAGAAATTTGACCCGAAGAAATGGATAAACGGGGCGGTCCAGCAGAGGCACCCGCAGGACCCGATCGATAAGCACCTCGTGGATCTCGAGATGAAGCTGCAGATGGCGTCGGAGGAGATTGCAGCCTCACTGGAAGAGCACAGCTCCGCCGCCCTCCTCCGCGTTCCGCGCGCCTCCCGTGACGTCCTCCGCCTCCGCGATGACGCCCTTTCTCTCCGGTCTTCTGTCGCCAACATCTTGCTGTTTCTCAAGAAGGTAATCGTGCTCTTACAGTGGCTTGTTGATCGTTGTTGCATTTTCACTAAAGCCGTTGTTTCTCTGTAGTGTAGCTCAACTTAGTGGGTAGATCCTTTGAGTGGTGATTTTATTTCGATTTTGCAAATGTCGATTTGGATTGGGCGAACGTGATGTAGTTTTGAATTGGGGAACGATAAAGTTGTCGCAGGTGTCCGTATAAGAGATGAATTTACATACATTGATATTTTTCTGGTGGTTTTTGTTTTCATAATCCCAGTGAGAATGAATGTGACAGGGTTTAAGAACCTGGTTTTGGACCTTCAGTCTGGCATTTATTGAATTTGAGGCAGACCAGTTGACTAAAAGTTGAGAAATAATGTCTTGTTAAGAATTAAACAGATCGGAGATTACTTCCCCTTGGGTCTAACACCAATGATGGATCCTTCTGAACCTTGCTTTGTTTTTCTCTTTTACAATTTAGATCTATAATCTGCGTGTGGAATTCTAGAACTTTTGTGTTTGTGGATAGGAATTTAATTGAATCAAGAGTAATTTAGGTCCATGTAAGATTTGAATAACAATATTAGAGAAAGGTGCAGGGTAATAGGTAGTCAGTGGAATGAATTGAAGGTACCATATCAAGTTTGTGAATTTGAACAGAACTGAAACTTGTCTAATGACTTGGAATATAGTGCTAGTTGTCTAGTATGTACATTATATTTTAGTCTGAAGTTTTGAGTTGAATTGTGTTGGACAATGTGTGAGAAACCTGTCAATACTCCAATGTCCTTTTGATGTTTGATATGGACTTGAATCTGTTCTGCAGGCTGAGGGATCCTCTGCAGAATCAATCGCAACTCTAGCTAAAGTTGACACAGTTAAGCGGAGGATGGAAGCTGCTTATGAGACGTTACAGGTTGGATCACGATTTTGATTTTTTTTTTTCAATTGGAACTCAGCTTTCTTGAATTGGTTTCTGTTTCTTGTTGGTAAGTGAAAGTTGCTTCTGCTGTTGAACAGGATGCTGCCGGGCTGACGCAGCTAAGCTCAACAGTTGAGGATGTATTTGCCAGTGGTGATCTCCCACGGGCTGCAGAAACTCTAGCTAACATGAGACATTGTCTGACGGCTGTTGGGGAGGTATATTTTTCTCAGCCTTGCCGTATTGCAGATGAGAATCTGGAAACTTTTTATGATTGATGAATTTGGGGTGATCAGGTGGCAGAATTTGCTAATATAAGGAAACAGCTTGAAGTTTTAGAAGATAGACTGGATTCAATGGTTCAGCCACGCCTTACGGATGCGTTAACTAATAAAAAGGTATTTCCCATCATCATATCATTGAAGGAACTCTAGATTCTTGGTTCTTTCCTTGTGCTTCTCCACACTGACAGCAAATTGGTATCATTTCTCCACTTTTATAGGTTAATGTTGCTCAAGAAATGCGAGGGATCCTCATTCGAATTGGGAGATTCAAGTCTTTAGAAAGTTACTACACAAAACTCCACCTCAAACACATAAGGAAGCTGTGGGAAGATTTTGACTCTGGGCAGCAACCTAATAAAAGTTCAAGTGAGAGGAATGAGGTAGAAAGGGGCTCAAGTACCTTCGATTCACAGTCAAGTTCCTCGAATCTGTCATTCTCGCGCTGGTTGCCAAGTTTTTATGATGAGTTGCTGCTTTATCTGGAACAAGAATGGAAGTGGTACTATTCGCATATAAATTTTACCCATATTTTTACTTTTATTTCTGAGTGATGTGCTGCTCTTGTTTTCCTGACCGGACACATGGTGTAGTTAGAATACCTGTTTCATTATCAGTCAGTACGTGATGTTGGTCATCCACTGCAACTTGAATCAACATTTGACATGCATAATCATTTAAAGTATATTTGTTCTTCTTTGTGGTTCTGATGCATTCAATAACGCAATAATACTGTTTCCCAGGTCACTGATTTTATTTCAAGGCTCCTAGCCCATGAGTACTAAAGTGACCCAGGAAAGGAAGTCTAGATACATCACACTTGCATCCTAGACTTTGTCGGTTTTAATTTGAGGTGTTTAGAATAGTTCAAAGAAGGTAGATTAAAGTAAAATAACGTGAAGAAGTTGGATATTCTAACAATTTAAAATTCTCGCGAGCTAAGCCTAAGTTACTACATTTTCCATCAAAATGTAGATATAAGCAGAATAAGGTGATGAATCCATGTCTACCGTTCATATTTTACAATTTCCATATAAAGTTGGTTGTTTAGAGTGTCGTAAATGGGATGATCCTGAATTCGATAAGGTATACCTGTCTCATTTATACTTGAAGGTATAGGTTGAGAAAGCTTGATATGTTATTATATTGTAAAGGGTCCAGATTTTATTGTTTTCTTTCATGCCAAGGGTGAATTGTTGTGAGGGTATATTTCAAAGTAAATTTTCTCTTGATTTGGGATCTTTAAGATCAGTGGGGTAAAACTCCTATGGTTGTCATGGGTATATAACTTGATCAACTTGTTATCATGAAATGCTAGAAGCTGGTATGGAAGTGTTTAAATTTGATTACTTTTGTCTTGGCAATGGCCAGATCCTAACCAATGTGATCTATATGTGCATTGCCTAGAATAAAACTCAAAGTTCTTCTGCCTGTGACCTTTGTGCACAATAAGAGCATTTCCAATGGTCTTTCTATTTCTCCATTTTGTTGCCACATGACACAAATAATCTTATGTGGCTTGAAAAAACTCTAGAAGGCTTTCTAGATGTAGAAGCCCTTCTAGACAACTTCTATTGTATATTAGAGTATTTATTCAATTTATTTATCTTCTTCAACCAATTAAAATTTTACACATCACATATGATACCACAATTAACATAAACCATTGGAGACATAATTTTTTAGTTTTCATTCTCCATGCCATACAACACAAAATGGACAATTTTCCATTGGAGATGCTCTAATGATCTCATGATAGTGAGGGCTACAGATTTAAACTTGTGAAATTTACAGTTATCAGCTACCTTATAATTTATTTGGTTCTTATTCTGTTGGCTGTTGATTGTAAATATACAGAGCAATTATGCTGATGTAAGTCAATCATTCTCTCATAAAAATTCCACTTCAGGTGCATGGTTGGTTTCCCTGAAGATTACAGAACTCTTGTCCCGAAATTGTTGGTTGAGATGATGTCATCCATTAGTGCAAGTTATATATCTCGTGTTAATCTTGCTACTGGGGTTGTTGTTCCGGAGACTAAAGCATTGGGGAAAGGTGATACTTCAAATTCTCTCTTTTTTTTTTTATTCTAACAATTTTATATCATTTCAAATATGGGATTTCAAAAGTTGGTTTGCATGTTTAGTGTGTTTTACGTGCGGGGTATTGCAAATGACTTGCTCTCCTCACTAATAACTAACAAGTTGTTTGAAATCAGTAACTCATTAGCAAGTTCCAAGCTATTGCTTTTAGAGTTAACCAATTCTAATTATAGATTGTGTTTTTATATTTTGGCTATATTTTTATTTATTCTGCATCTAATATGACGCTTCTCACTACAAATGCAAAAATAATTAAATAGATTTCATCCGAAATGTGTGAAATGTGTCAGATTGCTTAAAGCTTGATAATGTTGTTGGATTAATCTTAGAAAATGAACTATTCCTCATGCAACTTTCGGTCCTGCTATTATGAAAGATGGTTGTTGTCTTCCCAGAAGCTCCCTCAAACTTTAGTTAAGTATCTATATCACTTTGGTGAAGCAGATATTGTTTACATAACATGCTATGCTTTCAACATATGGTTGTTACGAACCTTAGGGTTTTTGGATGAATGAATGATTCACATATATGAAGATGCCCATATATATAGACTTAGGGCCTTGAGTATGTATGGACTGGGCCTATAATATAGTTACCACCCCCCTTGAAACTCAAGGAGGAGGTGGAGGATCCGAAGCATTGAGTTTGAGCAAATGAAGCCGTGCTTTGGTGAAAAGTCTATTGCAGTTGTAACGTCACTGAAGAACAATTGTTTTATGTTGACTATGAGACCGGGTAAAGGAAGCATTAATACCAATGTGTTTTGTAAGTTCACGCTTCACAAGATCATTGGTAATTTGGATGGCTCCAATATTATCACAAAGAAGAGGCGTAGGAGCATCACATTGAATACCAAAATCGGCTAACAACCATCAAAGCCATATAATTTCTGAGGTGGTTGAAGCAAGTGCTCAAAGTTATGCCTCTGTGCTAGATCGAGATACAGCTGCCTGCTTCTTGACTTCCACGTAAGAGGAGAAGAACCAAGAAAAATGCAATAACCAGTGACAGAACGGCGATCTGTTGGATTACTCACCCAAGTGTAGTCTAAGTAAGCATGGAGCTGAAGCGGACTATCACGAGCAATAATAAACACTGGGATGAAGTTTCCCTTGAGGACCACGAAGCAAATGCCCAAAATGAACCGAAGTAGGAGCACTCACAAACTGACTTAATATATGAACATTGTGAGCAATGTCAGGCCTGGTAAGTTGGTAACAGTACGGTAAACGCCTACAATATGTCGATAGCCATAGGGATCCTCAACAGGCGTGCGTACCATCAGTGGAAGCGGGACGAAGCTGTAAGTGAAGATCCATAGGGGTAGCCGTTGTCCGATTATGAGTAATACCGAAACAACGGCCGGGACATATTAGAGTACACGAACCCTAACCCCGACAGTTGACGGATCTGAAAAAGGGAAAAACAGACACCAAAACCTCCCGAATCTCAAATCTAAAAAGCCTCGCAGAAAGGGGACAGAATTCCGAACCAACGGACGCGTGCCGGGAAAAATTCCGGCGAGCCACGCGCCCTCACGCTCCGGCGCACCGGCGTGTGGGATGGCCAGCAGAAAACTCTGGCGGTGCGTGTGGCTTACACGCGCAGCTTCCGGCGGCGAAACTTGGCCGGAAAGTCGATCTCGAGGCGGTGAGTTGACTAGTGTGGGAGGTGAGATCGAAAAAATAAATATTTATTTGTTGGTAACAGTAGAAGTGGTGCAAATTTTACTGACATTTGGAATGTCAGGATGATACACTTAATTATTGTATAGGAAGTTGGCTTGTTGATTTGTCTATGTTGGCAGAAACTGGAAGAAACCAGGAGTGTAATTGGGCCATTGGAATCTGTAACAGTATCAGCATTAGATTTTGAATCAATATTTATAAATCCCAAAGTTGTTGTTCTTAGAGATTGATTCATCTGATATCTTCTTGCCTCTTGGTTTCAGGTATATTAGACATCTTATCTGGAGATTTGCCTAAAGGTGTCCAAATCCAGACTAAACATCTAGAGGCTCTGATAGAACTACACAACATAACGGGAAGTTTTGCCAGGAATATTCAGCATTTGTTTTCCGATTCAGATCTTCATGTATTATTAGATACATTGAAGACAGTCTACCTGCCATACGAAACTTTTAAACAAAGGTAACCACACTTCTCATTTGTATCGTACTTTCATTTACCTAAATGCCATGGCATTCTCCTTTGCATACTTCTCCGCAGTCGTGGCCTGTGGGACATGTTCAGTTATTTCGTACTGTTTTACTTTGTTTCTTGGGTCCAATGGGTATATACTCGAGCATTGAATAAATGTATTACATGGTGAATGGAAGTAGTCCCTGCGACCCATTTTGATAGTCCCCAGCTTTTTACATCCCTTCTCAAAGTATTAATCATGATGGGAAGCATAATAGAAACATTGAATATTGTTTTCGATATAGCAAACTACATGAAATGTTTTTCTCAATCATTGTGAAAATGAGAAACAATACTACCTTTTTCCGAACAGTGGAATATATGGTAAAATCTATCCTTTTGTATGCACTGTTCGTTTCATGCTTGACATAACTTACTTTTATTTCATAATTAAGATATGGGCAAATGGAGCGTGGTGTGCTCTCTGGTGGTATTGCTGGCCTTGACCTCAGGGGAGTGAGTACTCGCATTATTGGCGTTCAGGGTGTTGAGCTCAGCGAAACAGTTAGAAGAATGGAAGAGTCCATCCCACAGGTCATCTTACTTCTTGAAGCCGCCACAGAGAGATGCATTAGCTTCACTGGTGGGTCCGAGGCAGATGAGCTAATTCTCGCTCTTGATGACGTCACCCTACAGTACATCTCCACTCTTCAGGGGAATCTAAAATCACTAAGAACAGTATGTGGAGTAGATTTAGATACCATTGGATCAGACAGGAAGGAAGCAGCTTCACCCGCACGAAAGGTGGATTTTACATCGAATGAGGAGGAATGGTCTTTCGTTCAGGGGGCTTTGCAGATTCTCACAGTTGCGGATTGTTTGACGAGCCGGATTTCTGTTTTCGAGGCTTCCTTAAGGTCTACGCTTGCCCGATTGAGCACTAATCTGTCCCTCTCTGTGCACGGCTCGAGTTTTGATCGAAATCAATCTCGTGTAGCTGACGATGATGGACATGGGGAATTGTCTACTGCAGCTGGAAAGGCTTCCCTGGATATGGCAGCCGTTCGGCTTGTTGATGTGCCTGAAAAGGCCCGTAAACTTATGAACCTCTTGGAACAGGTAATCTGACATTACAACGAGTTTGGTCATATTTTGAGTTCAGTATAGTAATTATACCAAACTATCCTTTGAAAGAGAATTAATGAATCTACTCATATTGATGGCCTTCTCCATGCAAGAAAAACTATTCTGAGATTTGCCTGTAAATGGACGTAATCTGTAATTTTCTTGATTCCTAACGTCTTTCATTTGGTTCTTGCAGTCAAAAGATCCCCGATTCCATGCCCTCCCAATGGCCTCTCAAAGAGTTGCGGCTTTTGCAGAGGCAGTGAATGAGCTAGTTTATGATGTGCTCATATTGAAAGTCAGGCAACACTTTCGTGATTTGTCTCGTCTGCCTGTATGGTCTTCTGTTGAAGAACAGAGTGCTCACCGCATCCCAAGCTTTAGCGCCTATCCTCAGCCGTACGTGACTAACGTTGGTGAATACCTTCTTACTTTACCCCAGCAACTGGAGCCCCTTGCAGAGGGCATTTCAAGCAGTGATGCCAATGCTGAAGAGGCACAGTTCTTTGCAACCGAATGGATGTTCAAGGTAAATTCTCCTTCATAAACTCTTTTAATTTGGACGTGCGTAGGAGAGACTTCGAGGAACCGGTGAGAAGGGTAGAAACATTAGAATTAAGAACGTAAATTATAAAGGGGAGGGGTAGACCTAAGAAAACTTGGAAGGAGACAATAAAAAATGATGTAAAATATTTAAACTTGAATGAGGATATGTGCTTTGATCGAGCACGATGGCGAAATGTGATCCATATAGCCGACCCCACTTAGTGGGTTTTTAACGGCTTGTTGATTGATTGATTGATTGAAACTCTTTTAATTTGGATGGTTAAATCCACCTTACGTTTAATGCCTTAAGTAAATACTAGTACAATTACAACCCATCTTGGTATCATTTAAAAGAACCCACTGGTCATATTTGGTTCTATTTTACAAATTGCAATAGTTGAAGAGTGTTGTTTAAAAATTACAAACTACAAGTGAGTCCTTTCTAAAACTTGATTGGGATGTGTAATTCTCTATGATGATTTGTTCCTTTTACAATTGAGCTAATCCTCAGGGAGATTTTTTGGTAATTTATGCCGCAATCAATGTGAACTTTGCCACAAGCCTCTGCATTTCTCTGAAAATGGAATGATAGATTTTGTCTAACGTTTTATCATGTTGGTATATAGGTGGCTGAGGGAGCTACTGCTCTTTATATTGAGCAGTTGCGTGGGATTCAAAAGGTTACGGATCGTGGAGCCCAACAGCTATCTGTGGATATCGAATATTTGAGCAACGTGCTCTCGGCTCTATCAATGCCCACCCCACTCGTTCTCTCCACATTCCATACGTGTTTTTCGACCCCAACAGATCAGCTCAAGGAGCTCGTGAATTCGGATTCTGGTAATCAGCTCGATCTTCCAACAGCCAACCTCATATGTAAGATGCGTGGTGTAAGACTGGATTAAGGAATCCCACAAATGCTTGAATTTCATGATGAATATATTTAGGAAGAGCTTTACGTATATTTGCATAATTGAGGATTCATCTGGGAAGTTGGAAAAAATGCACGCAGCTTGTCTCTGAGCATAGAAAAAAAAAATCTGATGTATCAAAAGATCCCAGCATGGAGGCGCAGTTTTTTCTTTTTTTTTTTTTCTTTTTTNGAAATGTTCGTGCTGTGTCGTGATTGTGATATGAGATATTTTTTGTTTATGATTAACTGTAGTTTGGCATTCTTTAAAATAAATTTCTTATGTGTTATCTGTCGATAGCGTGTTTTATGAAGAATCTGCTCGGATTGCTCAGCTACGTGTGTATGTCATGGGGTATTTGTAATTCTAATTCTAACTTCACCAAAAGTATACTCTTCCTCATAACCCAAATATATAGATTACTGTAGATATTATTCAATTACTGAACCAATATTTCATAATTCCCATTTGGCCATATTAGTACATTTGCAATTATTTCTACTTCCTTTTGTTTTGTGTGTCGACGTGATTATCTGCACAGATCACAAGTTCATGTCCACCAGTAACTTGAATCGATATTGAAATACCTCAATATTTGTACTGCAGATTCCCACAAACTCACTCATGTACTTGATCACCAAATAGCATAACGTCTGGGAGACTCAACCATCTAACAAAAACAAAAACATAAGCTGCAGCAAATCAATCCTGACAATTACAAACTTGAATATGTATGGACTAAAATTTTCTTATATACATATTTTTTGTACATAATGGTGAACATCTCACATGAGGACGACCCACCTTCTAGCGCAATCTGCAGCTAATTCTAAAATTATGAAACAAATATGGTGACAAAAATGTCTCTTATATAATCTCAAATGAATAATAATTTTGGGTTAAATTGAAAAATCGTGTTACTTGACCGTTTGAAAAGAAAAAAAAAAAAAGAGTTTTATATTATTAGCTGCAAATTTTTTCAGTTTTTTTTCACCCCAATACTTTATTCTAATTACGACAGTGTTTCCTCTTCCATCGGAAAATCCAAACCCAACTCCATTTACATGGTAACTACAATGGAGCAAGCGACACCACCACCGCCGCCGTCGTCGTCCAAGAGCTGGAGCATCCACACCCGCCGCGAGATCACCTCCAAGTACGAGATCCAAGAGCGCGTGGGCTCCGGCGCGTACGCCGATGTTTACAAAGCCCGCCGCCTCTGCGACTCGCTCACTGTCGCCCTCAAGGAGGTCCACGACTATCAGTCCGCCTTCCGGGAGATCGAGGCCCTCCAGACCCTTCAGAGCTGCCCAAACGTCGCCGTTCTGCACGAGTACTTCTGGCGCGACGACGACGACGACGCCGTTTTGGTGCTCGAGTACTTGCCCGCCGACCTGGTCTCCGTGATAAAGGCTGCCAAGAAGGATTGGGGCGGAGGAATCAGTGTCGGTGAGGTCAAGCGGTGGATGGTGCAGATTCTGGCCGGGGTCGACGCCTGCCACCGCAATTCTATCGTTCATAGAGATTTGAAGCCGTCGAATTTGCTGATATCTGCTGACGGGGTTCTCAAAATCGCGGATTTTGGGCAGGTATCTCTGTAGCTAATAGAAGTGTTTTTTTTTTTTTTTNCTTCTTTTTTCGAATTTGGTTTCTCTCTTTGTTTTTTATGTGTTCCTTCTAATGAATGAATGTTGAAAATCCGAATTACTACCATAGCTTTCGAACTAATGACAGTCGTCTAAATTATGGATTAGTAATCCTTGTGGGAAATGGGATCATAATTTGGCCGTTTGCGAATTCAAGGAGAGTAATCCAAAAGGGAAGGTTGTATTCAAACACTATCCGTGTTTTATTTTATTTTTTGTCAAGTACTCATTCAGCTTATGTGATGCACGTTATGAAGCAATAATGCGACTTGTTGGGATCGAATAGCTTGGAACTTACGCGACATATCTCTACAAGTGCATTTCGGTTAATTGTATTAGGTGTACAAGAATCTGGTGTTTTTGAAATGACCTGCCTCGAAGTTGCGTTATCTCATCATTTTTATGACATTGCAGCAACCCTCTATTTAGCTCTCAATATTATCAGCATAATAACTTCTTTAATGTTTACTATAGTCACCATACAATATTAGCATTTGCATAGGCAGTAAGTTTTCATTTATTTTCTCGTGTGTTCAGGCTCGAATACTTCGTGCTCCAGGAATTGTTGGCGATAGTTCATATGATCAAATTTCCGAGCAGCCTTCTCCAAATCAACCAACTTTATTTCAACCACCAGAGGTTTTTCCCACCCAAGAAGAAGAAAGTCGTTCTAATCAAGAACATACAAACAAACCAGGCCGTGAAAAATCCGTTCTTGAGCCAAATCCCTACTTTGCAAATGATTTTGATGAAGAGATTATTAGCCGTGATGGGGCTGCTTCAAATCTCGCCACATGCACAACAAGTGATGCAGAGGACCTTTTCCTGCAGCAATCTTATTCTTATGAAGGTGATGATTTTGTAGCTCGTGAAAATGTCCCGCTGCTTACTTCATGTGTCGGCACCCGGTGGTTTAGAGCTCCCGAGCTACTATATGGCTCCACAAGCTATGGGCTCGAGATTGATCTTTGGTCACTCGGGTGTATTTTTGCCGAGCTCTTTAGTCTAGAGCCGATTTTCCCAGGCAGTTCGGATATTGATCAGCTGGGCAAAATTATTAGTGTATTGGGCAATTTGACAGATGAAGTCTGGCCTGGCTGCAGCATTCATCTTCCTGATTACAATATAATTTCTTTTAGTAAAGTGGAAAATCCTACTGGATTAGAAGCTTGCCTCAAGAACCGATCCCCTGATGAAGTGCTGATTGTGAGGAGGCTTTTGTGTTTCGACCCGGCAAGTAGAGCTACGGCTATGGAATTGCTTAATGATAAGTACTTCAGTGAAGAGCCTTTACCGGTTTTTTTATCTGAGTTGAGGATTCCTGCTAAATTTGGGAGTCGTGATGATGAAGATTCATCTATTGATTGGAATGATCATAGGGATTTTGGGTCGGATTCAGACTTTGATGAATTTGGCTCGTCTCTTGTGACAACCACAGAAAATGGGTTTTCGATCCGGTTTTCTTGATGTTGATGGCAAGGGTTTTACCTTGATTGATTTTGACTTATCTCGAGCGGACATTCATCATATTGCTGTTCATTCATTAATCAGTTGGCTTATGGACTTTTTTGAAAAGGTAAGCATAATATGTGGACATGCTAGAATTTTGTCTATAAGCATCATGTGGGCTCAGGTGAGAGAGATTGTTTTGTTATTTATGTTTCTTGTCATACCAAACAATTCTGAGGAATATATATAAATATAAATATATATATATATATATATATATATATATATATGAAGAAAGTTATGTTGTAATAATGCAACTTTTTTATTTTGGAGGTGTCTTTGACATCATCTTCATTTTACTTCATTTTCCAAATTGCCTTGGAGAGACGCCTAAACACGAAAGACTATGATTTTTGTTAAAGTGCATAGCTGCATGTAGTGTTGTTAAATTAAACGAACTTGGCTCGGCTTAGCTCGGTTGATTAAGGCTCGAGTTTGGCTCGAGCTCGAGGTCTTAACGAGCTGAGCTCCAGCTCATTCAAAGCTCGTTTGGTTGACGAGCCGAGCTTAAGGCTCGTTAAGCTGGAAAAGAGAATTTTTATATAATTTTCTATAGTTCGGCTCGTTAAGGCTCAAACTCTGCTCGTTAATTGTGATAAACGAGCTAAGCTGGAGTTCGATTTCTGGCTCGTTTACAGGCCTAGCTCCATGTAGATGCATTTGACATTGGTTATGCTCTTCGTTCATCTTTGCTTTTGCCCTGTCTTTTTGTTTGTTGGATTCATTGGTTTGTAATTCCCCTACTATACGAAGTTAAGCTGAATGTTGATGCTTTTTTAACCTGATGTGTTATCTGCAGGACTGTATTTAAGACAATTGACCGAGTTTCTGAAGACTCGTTAGCTGTTTTTGTTCACAATTGAAACATTTCACCACATGATGTAATTGCACTCGGGACTTACATATTTTTCATTTGATATAAAGTATATTCATTTTATATTCTATTAAACGTAAAATAATATTGTTTTTATCTTGTTTATTTTTGTAGTTAAATTTTTTAAATTAGCTCCTAGGGCTAAATTTGAGGATGGTACTTGCCACTTCATTAGCTGCCCGTTAGCTCTCCAGGAAGCAAGAAGTAACATGCAGAACATATCATAGGAAAAAGATGTTACTATAAATAAACATTTTCAAGAGGTGGCTAAATGATAGAAATTTATGTATGAATAAGTGAACATCGTAAATCGAAAGTAACAACTAATCCAACTAAATTTGATTATTTAATATATTAATTGTAATATTGAAATTATTATATTTTAAACAGGGGTTTCATAAAACTGTTTTCCTATTGTGATATTGTTTTTAAGTGCCTTAATATTTGTTACACACTTACACTATATCAACCTTATTATCTTACACATTTTTTTGCTTTTTCCTTTTCATTCTAACTTATATGTAATTAATATATTAATATTATTCGTATAGTTAATTAATCTTATATAAAATTTATTGAATTATAATTATAAAATTAAAATTACATATTTAATGTATGCCATCATATCATACAATTGATAATCTATCTCACCCAATGGCCCCTAAAAGTAGCTTATATATAAAACACCAAATTTTGATGTATTTGAAGATGGTAAGCTTAGTGAGCTTTATTTTGATCGATTTTCAATGTATTTAAAGATGCTACTTATAACTTCTTTTTTTTTTTTATTAATATGAAGATGAGTTTGAGCCAATACTCTTATAAGTTAAGTTATTGTATAACTAGTGTATACAACAAATCACTCTCAAATTCATATGTAGTTACATATATCTATTTTATCTTTTTATATATTCTACAGTGATATTCAGTTAATGTTGAAATTTGAATTAGTTTATAAAGGTTAGCAAAAAAGAAAATTAAAGTAAATGATGTGTTCTTTATTCCATATCATATATGTATGGACCTTTCAACTTTTCTTTTCCAAGTTAATGATGAGTTTTATCGTAAAGCCCTAAATTTTGGACACAAACAATTTTACTAATTAGGGTTTATATACACACAATAACCTATCCGCCCTCGACTAAAAATAAATATATGTTGCATTCCATTCAATCCATTAGTCTATTTTTCCTCCACCTTTGACTAGTACGAGTGCCAGCTAACAATGTATATAAAAAAAATAATATATTTTTTATGTATATACAAAATGAAATAGAGAAGTTTTTCATTTGTATATACAAAATGAGATTTTTTATGTATATACAAAATGAGATTTTTCATTTGTACGTTTTATCAGTGTTACAATATAATGATTTTTTTTATTCATATGTAATGAATTTAGATAATGTTTTTAATTAATAAATAATTTATTAAGTTTTAATAATTATTAATAGATGATTACTTTTATAATAAAAAAATAAATTTATTTTTTTAAATTGAAATTTATCATAAGATTATTACTTTAATATATATCATATATGAAAAACTGATAATAAATAAAAATATTAACTTCTAAATATGATTAATAAGATGGAATCCCAATCTACATTAATACACATAGAATTACGAAGTGGATTTGAACATTACGGCTGTGTTTGACAAGCATATAAGCTAGTTTATATTTTATTTGATTAGCATATAAGCTTTTTGTATCCAAATATAAGTTTGCTTTGGTAGAACGAACTTCTTTAAAAAGGTCGAGCTTATCTAATAAACTTCATTGGGTAGCTTTTCATTAAGACCATTGAAATTTATATTTCATCTTGTTTTTCAGCTAATTTAACCAAACACTTTTATATAATCTAGCTTTTCAACCATAAGTCTATGATCTATAAACTCGAAATTCGCTTAAAAGTTATAAGCTAACTTAACAATGAATACGTTTTAAATTATATATAAAAATAAATTAAAAAAATAGTATTATACATTTTTATAGAATATTTATTATTCATCAATTCAAATACTTATGACTAATCACTATTAACATGCCACATCTAATAACTATATTATTATTAATTATTATTTTTCATTACAAAGTTGAAAAAGAATCGAACAGAGTGAATTTAGAGCATCTCCAATGGATTGTGAATTGTGAGATTGTAGAAGTAGTCTGATAAAAAATGTCTCCAACAGTCATTTTTTTACTTCCATTCCTGCTGATGTGGCATGAAAGAGATGAAATTATTCTAGAAGTCTTTCAACATGTGAAAGTACTTCTAGAAGTCTTAAATATATTATTTTATATATATTTAAATTATCATGATACAATTAACAAAAAATAAAAGTTAAAAAAATATAATAATATTTATGTAATGATTATTTTATTTGTGAAAACATGTATGTAGTATTTACAAAAATATTAACTAAATTTGAAAAAAAAAATCAATTTATAATCTAAGTAGTTGATTAAATTATAATTTGTTGGTATTTATATTTATACACTTTATCAAAAAGCATATTAATTTACATAAATAAAATAAAATTGATACATTTATATAATTATATTATAAATTTAATGGTATATATTTTGTCAAAATTATATATAATATATTTAATACACATGTATAGACATTTACTATGTTTAGAGAATAATTTAGTCCTTTCAGTCCACGTGGAAAAAAAAACCTTCTATTTAACTATCACCTAGATTACAATATTACAATTTAGTGAATTCATTGGAGATGCTCTTAATAATGCATTTCCTAACGAACTCCTAAAATATAAAGAAATTGTCAATTGTTAATTTCCAACTTAATTGTCAATTGTTAGAAGTCGTCCCCATTTTTTCAACTTTTAATCACATGATTTTCTTTTAAAATTAACTCTGTAGTCTGTTCTACTCAGCAGTTAAGACTTTCATACGTTTTCACATCGACTACAACTATTCCATCCGTGTGTTACGGTGGGTATGTATATATGTATCTATAGACGCTTCAATAGAGCTTCAATCGGAGAGTTGCTTGTCGGTATTGATTAGAGTGATCTGAAGAAAAAACTTGTGTTGCTGTTTAATTTTTTATTTTTTTTTTAACTTTTTTCCCAATTTTCTCCAGATCTTCTGAGGGATGGCGGAGGAGATCAGCCACCCGTCGAGGTACGTCAAGCTGACGAAAGAGCAAGCGCCGACGGAGGACATTAATCCCGGCGAGCTTAATCTGCCCATTGATGTTCCTCAAGTACTCTATCTTTCTCTCTCTTATTGATGAAGTTTCTGATTACTCGTTGAAATTTCATTCGGAATTCCTAAAAGTCATAACACATTGGGATATTTTTCTTTCCCTTAAAATATATAATGGTTCATAAAAAATTGGTGCGGTTAGGGATCTGCTTTGTCTTGTTGTGTTTTATTTACTCGTTCTGACTGTGAATTTTTTAAGAATGCCGGTTAGTAGTTCATGGTATTGGGAGGAAGTGATTCCTTGATGTGTACTCTTTATTGTAAAGGCAATGGTGCTATTGCACAAGCACTTGTCTTGCTTTGAGTGGTTCGATTTGCTTTGGCCAAGGGCAATGTAAACGAGACGCTGAGTTTGCATAGGTTCCTGCTTTAACCTGACTCTGGCCTGGTTACCTTACTCTTTATTGTAAAGGCAATGGTGCTTTGCACAGGCACTTGTCTTGCTTTGAGTGGTTCGATTCGTTTTGGCCAAGGGCAATGTAAACGAGACGCTGAGTTTGCATCGGTTTCTGCTTTAACCTGATTCTGGCCTGGTTACCTTACTTTACCATAAGAAGAGATTATTCAAGTTGGAATTTGATAAGTTGTTGGCGATAAATCTAAATTGATCAATGCCCATGTTTGGATAATGTTTGTATAGTATAGTTGACTGTGAATCTTTATCAAGAATACCAATTAGATTTTCACCTGACTCGTTCGAAATGTATTTTTGTGTGAATTCCACATTCCATTGGGAACTTAGATGTATTATCTGTGTGGCTTATCCTACAGTTGCACGTCCCCAAGTGCCATGAATGTGGACAGGCGCTACCAGAAAGCTATCAAGCTCCCGCTGATGAACCTTGGACTACTGGGATTTTCGAATGTGCTCAAGACCCTGAAAGTTGTAAGATTACAATTTTTTGAGTGAAATTTCTAAAAATCAATGTTGAGCAGGGGAATTAGAGCAAAAGGTAACAATTAGAAACCTTGAGTTCTTAATCTAAACTGTAATTTGGTACAACTGTTGGGAAGTTGTATTGGTTCCGTGTATGTGAATGAGGGAATGTGGAAGTTAATATGATGTTCAATTTTTTACTGTTACGAAGGGATCTTCATGACTGATCAATTTCGATTCTCAGGCCATTGGATGCCATTCTTCTTTTACCAAAAGCCCTAGATTACATTAAGCTGTGATATTTATTGAAAATATTGTACTATGTTATTGAATTTCATTCCGTGGCTCCAGTGTGGCTGTCATAGTGATATTGGGTGAAAGTTAATTTCCCTCTCTCTCCCCCTCTCTCCTCATCTCTCTCACACACAGCGCTCACTCAAACACACTCTTGAAGTGCTCTAGTTTCTTAACTAAATTTTCTCTTAGTGCTTGGAAATTGATATACTTGGACTTTCTAATGTTTGATTTGATTATGCTGTTTGCAACAGTTTAACTTCTTATCCAAATTGTTTTCCCGTTGGTAATGATCACCTGTTTCACTTTCTCGTCTTCTAAAACTTGAAATTTGAGGATCTCACCCATTTGCTCGGTCAAACTTCCCAGAATCTCTGATGTTTTTTTTTTTTTCAAAACCGGCAACAGGTCGTACAGGGTTATTTTGCCCATGTATCTTGTTTGGCCGTAATATTGAACAACTGAGAGAGGATACTCCATGGACTGGGCCGTGCATTTTCCATGCTATTTTCATAGAGGGTGGACTTGCCTTGGCTGCGGGGACAGCAGCCCTGAATGGTTTAATTGACCCAAGGACTATATGCCTTATAACCGAGGGATTGTTTTTCAGTTGGTGGATGTGTGGAATATATACTGGCTTAGTGAGACAGTCGCTGCAGAAGAAATATCATCTCAAGGTTACGACAAAACTACCCTTTTTTTATTGTATACTAGTTTACTTTGTTTTTTATTGGATGCAGAACCTTGAAGGCTATAAGTTTGTTGCTGCAAATTTTGAGTTCATCCGATCTGTTTCAGTAGTTGACTTGGTTAAATTCTTCATACAAATTCATCTTATATTATTTTATTTATGTCACGTGTCTAATGTGTTTAAAATGTCTTATACTTGCCCTCACCACCCACAGTTTAGGTTAATTAACAAGAAAGGAAATAAAAGATAGGTTTTGGAAATTACAGATACCCCTCATCACATTTGATCTTGTCATACGTTCAAAGGTGATTTTTTCTTGCATGGAGAGGACAACTGATTAATTGTATTAATGTCGGGAGTTTTTCTGAAAAATGTTATTATCCTATGAAGAGAAAAACTTTTAGATTGAATCAATCCCCAAGGACAAACTTGTGGACTCCAAAATATTGTGCTTCCTTTTTTGTCCTTGGCAGAATGATATGTTTGGTAAACCTAGCTGATAAGCTAGCAGCTTATTGCTTTTAAGTGAATTTCGAGCTTATAGCTGATGACTTACGACTTATGGCTGAAAAACTAGATTATATAAAAGTGTTTGGTAAAATTAGCTGAAATAAAAGGGCTTATTTGAAAAGCTACCCAAGGAAGCTTATGAGATAAGCTCCAGCATTTTAAAAAAGCTCGTCCTACCAAACCAAGCTTATTTGAATACAATAAGCTTATAAGCTAATCAAATAAGCTATAAGCTAGCATATATGCTTACCAAACACAACCTAAATCTTTTTGCTGCTAATTTACTAGGTTTTATATTTTTTGTTTTCCTTGTAGAATTCGCCGTGCGATCCTTGCATGGTGCACTGCTGCTTGCACTGGTGTGCCATATGCCAAGAGCACAGGGAACTGAAAGGCCGCCTATCAGACGACACCCCAATGCCGATGACTATAGTCAATCCGCCTCCCGTCCAAGAAATGAACGCCTCAATTGACAGCCACCATTCAGCACTACCACCGGCTAATGGGGGCGAACAAGTTAATGTAGAGATGCAGGCTTTGTAGAAAATCTCCATCAAGAAAAATATGCTAGAGATTCACTTCCAAACAGCTTCGGGCAATTAAAATCCTTCATGTCCTTTCACTGTAGGAATGTAAGTGGTGTGACTTTTTGAGTTTCCCTATTGTGCGCACAATACAAGATTATCTTAGTCTGGTGAGACCACATATGAGTGCACTTTTTGGAGTTTTCTTCCTGAAAATAGCATATGTGCTGTTTATATTATCCTGATGCTGAAGGGGCAAATTTGAGTTGGTTTTCGATATTTGTTTGAAACTTACATGTCTCTTTCTTCTTTTTTTTTTTTTTTG